AATCTCCTCAAAGTTAACTCATTTCTTCTTATTGCAGTCTTTCACTACAATCCAGACTTTGTATCTCGGCTTTTGCCCGTTCTCTTCATTCTTAATCTTGTGGACCCATTTATTTTTCAGAGCTAGTCTTCCTTCAGGAAGCTCGGTCGGCTCATAAATCTGATTTTCGTGCAAAGAATTCATTTTGTCTTGCCTTGGCTTTTCCCGTTCTTCTTTCTCTGAGCTCATCACAGCCTCATCATAACTCTGAGGCTCATCGTCTTCAGCAACAACGGTGTATTCATCAGATGGGTATCTTGTAGAGGGTCTTCTTTCTCGAGTTGGATATCTCGTCTGTTCTTCAACTTGTGAACCCGGTTCATCATTCTCATCCCGAATCTCATTATCAACTCGGACCTCAGTGTCTTGGTCATCAATTTCTTCATTATTTTCTTGATTTTCTCCCCCTGCTTCAGCTCGAACAAGAGGAACGGGTTCTTCACGTCTGACAATAACCCGGACTTTGGGCTTCGAGATGTCATGAATGTTCTCATCTTCATGAAAGATCACATCTCGGCTTCTCACTATCTTCTTATTGATTGGATCCCAAATTCGGAACCCAAACTCACATCTCGGCGAACCAAGATAGATGTATTCTTTAGTCTTTGCATCGAGTTTTGCCCTTTCATCTTTAGGGATATGCACGAAAGCTCGGTATCCAAACACCTTCAGTTGATTATAGGTCGCTTTTCGACCTGTCCAAACTTCTTCTGGAATTTCTCCTTCAAGTGGCCGTGATGGTGAGAGGTTGATCAAGTCAACAGCAGTTCTGACAGCTTTTCCATAGAATGATTTCGGTAATCTGGCATTGGATAACATGCTTCGGACCTTCTCTTCAATAGTTTTGTTCATCCGCTCAGCCAATCCATTCAGCTGAGGTGTCTTGGGGGGCGTCTTCTCAAGTCGGATCCCGCCGCTCTACAGTATGCATCAAATGGGCCGCAATACTCACCACCATTTCCAGATCGGACCACCTTCAATATCTTGCCAGTCTCCCTTTCAACCAAAGCATGGAATTCTTTAAAGGATTGGAGTACCCGGTCTTTAGACTTCAACAAATATACCCACACTTTGCGGGAGTGGTCATCAATGAATGAAACAAAATACTGAGCTCCTCCAAGGGATCTTTCTTACATGGAGTAGACATCAGTATTGACGAGGTCAAGAATCTACATGCGTCGTCTGGGTTGATCCGGTCTCACAAAAGAAACCCAGTGCTGCTTTTCAGCTAGGAAGTGCGTGCAACTCTCCAACGCTTGGCCTTTCAACTCAGTCAATGATCCTTTCTTATTTAGGATTTGGAGCCCTTTCTCACTCATGTGGCCGAGGCGCTTGTGCCATACCTCCAAGCTTGGTTCATCTCGAAAAGAATTGGCTTCTCCGCCATTGATCTTTCCTTGCATCACATACAAGGAGCCTTCCTTCTTATCTCGGCATCTGGGTTGGCAGCCACCGCAGTGGTGCTCTTGTCTTCCCTCTTCTTGAAAATAATTCGATCCGACTTCACAGAGTCGTTCTTCTCGCCATTCTGTAGGGTCCAGCAGTCTGGCTTCTTATGACCTGTCTTTTCACAGTAAACACACTTCAAATCATATCTCGGCTTTAACCGACCTCTGGACTTTCCTCTTCTATCACGATCTCGACCCCGACTCTTGCTTCTACCCCGGGAGTTGGATTTCCCTCTGTTCTCAGCAACGTTGGCCTCAGACGTGCTCGAAATACCTCGTTCTCTTCTCCTGGCTTCTTCACCCAAGAGGTTGTCTGTCACGACATCCATATTGAATTTTCCATCTGGAATCGAATTATTCAAGGTTACCACTAGAGTATCCCAGCTTTCTGGCAGCTAGCTCAACAGCGGCAAGGCCTGCATCTCGTCATCAATTTTCATATCAGCCTTTGACAGCTGATTCACAATACCTTTATAGGTGTTGAGATGTTCAATTATACTCATGTCGTCCTTGTATGCTAACTTCACAAGTCGGCGAACCAGGTGTGCTTTGTTCCTAGGAGTCTTCTTCTGAATCATGGACTCCAACTTCGTCCATAACTCGTACGCGTTCGTGAACTCGGACACATGCTCAAAGAGGCTCTTGTCAATGTATTTTCTGATCGTAGCTATCGCCTTATGACTCTGGATCTGCCACTCCTTATCGGTTTTTCTTCTGGTCTCTTATCAAGGTTAATGGGCTCATGTAAATCTTTGCAGTAGAGATGATCTTCCATCATTGGTCTCCAATAGGTGAAATTGTCTGCGGTCAGCTTGAACATGTCTCCATCATTGGTTATGCCACTGGTCTCCATCTCGTCTCCCTCAAAACCCTTCGAACTCGGGCTCTGATACCACTGTTGGGAACTAAGTTCCCTCAAGCTCGGCTAAGCAGCCTTTGTGCGAAAGTCAATCAACAAGATCCTGATCTCGGATCTCGGCAATACCTCGTCCTGAACTTCACCAGGTCGGGTCGCGCAGCGGAAAATCAAAACGAAAAATCACAAAATAGGAGAGAGAGAGAGAGAGAGAGAGAGAGAGAAGGAGAACACAACCAGATTTAACGTGGGAAAACCTTCTTCAATGAAGAAGTAAAAAACCCACGGGACCTAGTCCAGATCAAAAATTCACTATGAAAATAATGGTTGCAAAGAATCAAATACACCAATGTGGTGGTTAACTCAACCTTTCCAACAATGGGGATGATCAAACTACCCGAGAGATGTTTCACTCAAACTCTCTCTAGAGACCTCTCAAATGCAAAGCATAAAGCTTTGCTCAAACTCTCAAAAAATTATCTCTCTCATTCTCAAAAAAACTCTGCCTCCGCCCTCAACTAATGAATATATAGAGGAGGTGAGATCTAGGGTTTAGGGTTTTTTAAGAAACCCCTCAATGGGCTTGACCTTAGCATTGAAGGAGGAAGGCCAACACTTGATGCTTAGAATACATTAAAGACAAATACAATTTCTATAAAGTGGTGGAGATTGGAGAATGAGAGTTGTCCACATGACTACATGGACTAACAGCCTCAAATTAATGAGAGGATGAGAGCTATATTGGGTGATTACAGAAAATATCTTCTCAACACTGGTATATCAATATCACTTGCTAAAATTGGAAAAAAAAATTAACATATATAAGTGTACTTATTTTATTTATGGCTTTATGGTTAATGTTGCCTGTATTGCAATTGGTTGTCATCAATAATGCCATGCATCTAAGTTTGAAGAAATATGGCCCCTAATGTCTTTGTCTGCCTCTCCGATACAACTCACACCCACAATTTTAAAATTTCACATCATATAGTCCTTGTGAAATTTCTTTCTGAATTTAAACAGAGAAGTCGTGTTAGAAAAATATAAAGCTATTAATATATCTACACTTAATCGCTTAATTTATTGGATTGAATTGGTATTTTGCATAGTATCAGAGCCTATATAACTAAGTGATCACGAGTTTGATCTCGCTGTCCTTATTCTAATAATATATAATTAAATATTAGCTTAAGTTTTTGGATTGAAATAATTTTTTACCGCCCATTAAAATTTGGGAATATTTGTAACAGAGAGACAAAATTTGTGAATATCACGTGAATTGGTCAGATCCTCTCAGTGAAGAGATGAGTCAAAGAATTGTACAAAAGAGATGGTTGCCTTGCTTTTCTCTTCATTTTCAATTTCACTTTACTTTCATTTTTTTTTTTTTCAAGTCAAGATAGAAAAAAAAAGTAAAAAAGGGTGATAATGTTGAATGATTTTTTCTTCTTCTTCTTTGCTTATTATTTTAAGTGGAGTTTTACTCTATGCCTGAACTTTTGGTTTTGGTTTAAGTGTGTCAATCTTTGAACTTACATACTTGTTTTCATGTTATCAATAATAAGTTGGAGACCATTCCCAATCCAAGTAATTGAAATAGATTAAACTAACTATACGGCAAAGCGTGGTTAGCACTAAAGCAAAAATGTGAAATGTTATTCTATATCCTCTTATTTTCAATCCGTCCTACTTTATATACTTTTAAGAGAATCTTCTCATGATGAAGAACAATTCCTGTTTTTCAGCATGAAACAACATAGGACAGAACTAGACCAAATATAACCTAAAAAAGAAGACAGTATTATGATGTGATGAAGACGTTCCTTTCCTTCTTTCCTAATTTGAAGTCATAAAAAATCTTTGCAGATCTATGAAGGAATCCTTATTTTGACATCTTTCTTATTGGAACAGAAAAGTGATAACAAAATATGAAGCCCTGCATCTATTGAGGCTCCTAGAATAATCAAGTGCAAAAGTAATGATTCTACAACTCATACCAAAAGTTTTGCATCCAATAAATTGAAGATAATGTTGAAGGAATTCTCACTCTCTTACATGACACTATTAGCATATTAGCATGACACTATCATGTTTTTAAGGAAAAAGAGAATATTAATCTATAATTATCTTTCCATTTAAATTCTTTTTCATTTTATACTTTGATTTTATATATATTTGGAAATTTTACTTCTCATTTGCAACATCAATTTTTCCAAAATTCCCTTTAATTATTTTCTCATAATTTTGCTATTCATTTGTATTTTGTATATATAGTTGCCCATAATCTTTTATTTATGTAGCTGTTGGCCTACAAATGATGCTGCACAATTTTGCTTTTCCCTTTGTCATAAGTAAAATGTTAGTTTACAACTAACTATTCCCAAGTAAACTAAATTGAATTTCATACATGGCAAATCATCATCGACAGTAAGAACAAAAATGTACCCTTTTTTTAAACTATCTTCATGAGATAGAACAATGACTATTCAACAAGAATAAGAAAAAAACTAAAGAAAAAAAAGACAGAACTATGCAAATTAAAAACACAGGAAAATACTAAAATATCCAGAAAACAGTTCTTAACTAATGTCTGATAATATATAATCTTTGCAATTCTATGACATCAGCTTCAACTTCTATTTGGCACCAGGATCCTTTTACTGTGGAGGAGGGCAGAAAGTGATAACATAACGTGAAGCCCTGCATTTGTTAAGGCTGCCAACATCATCATATGCATAACTATAAGCCTTGGGGCATATAGCCTTAAAGAGGTGTGCAAAAAGGGTAGGCTTGCAAGTCTTGGGGTCAGAATAACTCCCTGTGCAACAATACTTAGCTGATTGCATTGCCAAACATGCACTTTTACACCCCACAACTTTACCATTTTTCTTCACTTCCAATGCTGATGGACAACAAACATTCAAATCCACCTCACAAGAAGCCACCCCACACCCAATTCCACCTCCAACAGGCTTCATAGAAACAGGCAAGTTGAAACCATCCACCAAACTCACATCATAGAAATGCAATGGAGAAGATGAAGTTCCCAGTGTCATTTCAACAACTGTTGCTGGTGGAACTCCTCCTTGCCCTCTACAATGTAGTTTCCCATTGCAATCACCAGTGAGACAGTGTCCATTCCCATCATTGTCAAAGCTACAACCCTGCCTTCCCCATATTCTCCCTGACCACTTCTCTGGTACATCAAATACTACTTCTTCACCACTTCCAAGATGAATCCCACCATCTTTTGGAGTTTGTTGACCAGCACTTCCTAGTATCCCTGGCCATACACTTTCCCCACAATTGTTCACTAGAATTAGCTGAGCCCCATCTGCAACAAATAAATATAAAAAAAAATGATATGCTTAGAAAGATAGCATATTAGTTATGCAAGCTTATATCATATGCTTCTTTTTCTTTTTTGAAATTTTCAATACACTAATAGTAGTTAGTACTGAAAAAACTAAATGACATGATTGAAGTTGGAGACAATAATAATTTACATAGTTGATATGATATATATTGAATGATGTGGTGTAACAAAAGTGAATGCTGTTTATACCAAGTGCATCAATAATTATAAACACAGATTTTTACAAATAGGCAAAAGAATCATTGAGTAGGAAGAAGAGGAAATAGTATTACCTATGAGTATGATGGAGCAAAAGGGAACCAGGTAGAAGAGAAAGGGTAAGAGAATTGAGGAAGTTCTTGCCATTGTTTCAGCTCAATTTTGAATCAGATTAGCTGATGTTCAAAAGGGTGATGCTACTATTTATATAGAAATGAGTGGCAGTGGCAGAGTACGTGGCAGGGTTCCATGTTCCAAATATTTCGCCCTCTAAGTATAAGTCGTGCCAAGTGCTATCTTTTTATATAAAAACAAAACGGTTTTTTTTTTTAACTTCCAACATTCACCCTCAATTAAGCTTTTGCCTTTATTTTCTCTACTTGCTTTCAACTTTCTCTTTCGTAACTAAGGAGCATATATGCATTGCTTCCAGCTGGAGATTTCTTTTCTACGTAACTATGTTAATAAAATGATTAAAATACTGCTATTTAAATATTGTATAATATTACTAACTAGGCAACTTGCAGCATCTTTCGGATGAGAAAAATACTAAATAAATAAAAAGGGACTGTACCATGTGATATGAACTTTAGTTGTATTAGATAATGTTCTTATTTTATAAAATCCAACTCTATGGCATTCTTTTCCTTGAGAGGAAAATTATAGTATTTGCTTTATTATCTTAAAATGGAAAGGCATATAGTTCAACATAATTATGTTCTCTACTTTGTTTAGCCTTGTAGCTTAAGATTTCTTTTATCCTTTATGAGACAGATGAGTATAAATTTAACATTAATTGAGTTGCATGTTGTGACCCATAAAGCTTTATTACAAGTGTAAGCAGGAATCATGATGATATTATTCAATGCATGATGCTCTTATAATAGCATCATGCTCTTATAATAGCATCATTCTCGTTCAAGTATTTGGTTGCGGAAAATATGGAATTGAGAACTAAATTCTATTTTAATTTTTTCGATATTAAAAAATTACTTTAAAGAAAATATGGAATTGCTTTACGATGTTTCTAGAAATTGATAAAAAAATGTTGAAATTCTGCACTAACTCAAGGTTCTTAACATGGTATCAGAGCCTCACCGTCCCCCGCTTTAAAAAGTGGAATTAAAAATTAAAAAAAAGCACAAAAGGTAAACCAAAAATTGGGTCTGTGCAATTTCACCCTTCTAGCCCAAAGGGCTCTTGCGTGAGAGGGGCGTGTTGAGATATATAGTCCACATTGATTGGATGAATAACTAATATGGCATTTATAAGGCCTTGGGCCCCTTGAGCTTTACAGATTGGATGTAACATATTTTTTTGAAACCCTTGAAAAACAAGATGATTTTTGATATACATATATGGCAAAAATGCTTGTCATTTTAAGAGAGATAGACACAAAATAAATTTTTTATTTAAAATTTAAATTTAAAAAAATCACACACTTTCTCTCTCCCATGATTTTCATTTTTTTGTGTCTATCTCTCTCCTAAAATGACATAACTTACGTCATTTAAAATGACAAACACCAAACCCTACATATATTTTAGGGAAAATATACTCTAGGGGTGTTCGCGGTCGGGATTGGATCGATTTTGGAAGCAAAAATCATCTGATCCAATCCCTTCAATTTCATAATATAATCATCCATTCGGTTTGGATTTTTTTTCAAATCTGATCTGATCCAATCCAATTTTTTTCGGTTTGGATTGAATCGGTTTTTGGTTATTTGAAAATCCTAAAATTTATTTTATGATTATTGTGCAAATAACATCCTTTGTATATATTGACTTTGTAAATTATTATTTTTTGAAAGACAAGAGCATTAGTAAATTATAATATAGTTTTTTTTTTGCAATGAGATATGAAGCTCTACAAAGATACAATTTTGTTGATGAGATACGACTATATTTTTTCTTGGGTTTAGTTGATGGGTTAATGGGTCTTGGGTTTAGAATTTTTTAGGCTATGATTAGGGAAATACCCAAGTAGGTAGAGAGGAATTAATATATTGGATCGGTTTGGACTGAATCGGTTTTCATCAACCCATCCAAAAATCGATCCAATCCAATTAAAATTTGCGGTTTTTTTTTCAGTTTTGATTTTTGGTTTATTCGGTTATCGATTTTTTCGGTTCGGTTACCGCGGTTTGAATCGGTTTGGATCGGTTGATGAACACCCCTAATATACTCTTATGTTGTAGGAGATAATTTTTCTCTCCTACGCATACATCGATTTTCGTATTTTTTTTAATTTTAATTTTTTTCTATAGTGGGTGGGTCCCACACATGATTATCTCTATTGCATGAGAGAGTTCCCTTCTATTGCATGGGATTAATAAAACCCGTATTTTAATATATACTATTTATATTTAAGAGAAAATATTTTCTCTTAATAGTGACTCATGGTACAAATGAGGTCTACAAAATAATGAAAAAAAAAAAAAATTCAATGTGGGATCCACTTATGCCACGAGTCACTAGTAGGAGAAATTTTTTCCTTAAAAACAAAAAAATGATTACCCTATATTTAAAGGAGAGGATTATATTTACAAATTTTTTATTTATAAATCACACTATGTACTCCCGAGAGAACATTAGGTTACACTATGTTCTCCCACGAGTACATAATGTAATTTGCAAAATTTGTAAAAAAAATTTATAAACGGATCATTCCCCATATTTAAATGTGTAAAGCCTATATCAATATATTTTGGGTTTGATGTTTGTCATTTTAAATGACATAAGTTATGTGATTTTAGGAGAGAGATAGACACAAGGAATGAAAATCATGGGAGAGTAAGTGAGTGGTTTTTTTTAATTTAAAATTTAAATAAAAAATATTATTTTGTGTCTATGTCTCTCTTAAAATGATATTACTTTATGTCGTTTAAAATGACAAACACTTTTTTGATTTTTCCTATATTTTTTTTATATATATTTTGTTCGATACTAAGATTTTGAATTTGGGTCGACCATAGTTAAAGGGCCCAAATCAAGGAGGTAGTGATCTGGACTCCTCCATGTAATTGTCTTGCCTTCTAGAAGCTGGTAAAAATAAAACAAATTTTTCTAGTATAAATGATTAAAGGGATAAAAATAAAATTCCCAAATTCTTAATTAATAAAATTATCCTCCTAAAGAATTTCTCTCTAATTCTGCAACCTCATTTATAAATAAAAGGTTAAGTTAGTTTTTTTTTTTTTTTTTCTAAATCGAAAGGAGCATAAATTAGTCTTAGTGAGAGTCGAGCTCTACGATTTACTGTGTACTATGGTCTGAGGTCTCTATCTATTCCGTTGGTAAAGCTAACAGCGGTATTCTTGATTTTATTTTTATTTTTTATATGCTTTTGGTGTCCGATGCTTTATTATTAATCTGGTTTATTTTTTAGAGTGAATATTATTTTTGGTCATTGGCAATATCTACAAAATCCTTTTTAGTCCCTGGCAATAAAAAAGGATCAAATTGGTCTCTAAAATTATGAAAAAGGGCTACGTTAGTCCTTATGTCAACTCCTCCGTCACTAATGTAGCCCTTTTTTCATACTTTTAGTGACCAATTTGGTCTTTTTTATTGTCAGGGACTAAAAAGGATTTCGTAGATATTGCCAGGGACCAAAAATAGTATTTACTCTATTTTTTATTAAGCGACAAGAACTAACAGGTGTAACTTTTTTTTATAATAGGATAAATTTATGTTGCACCGATACAGACACCGGACATGGGATACGATATGATATAACACTCTAACACGTTAATTTTAAAAAATTAAACTTTGACATGTTAGGACACATTTTGATACTATATAATATTTTTAATTTATGTAGTGTATATTATATTTAATATTCAATAATTTAATAAAAAAATAAAGCTACACTTATAATACCATCAATTTTGTAAAGAAACATAAGATATCCCAAATGTTTATATTAAATTCAATAAAATGGTAATCGTAATTTAATGAATTTAATAGTTGGAATTCAAAATGCAACACAACGTAACTTTGAACTGTTTTTGAGTCTTTGCAACAAGTAATGGAGTGTCGGAAAATGTCGGAATGTTGATGAGTGTCGGGAAGTGTCAGACACGACACGTCAAGATTTTTGAAGTGTCGGTGCTTCATTAAGACAAACATAAAAGATATGATTTAATATATAAAAAATTGAAAGAATTTTAATATAAAACTAAGAAAGTTTTGATGTATGAACGTTGAAATGTGACCAAAGTTTTCTAGAAAAAAATTATTTTTATTTTAAAAAATAGCACCACTATTTTAAAGTAATCAAATACAATAAGAACTTCAAAAAAGAAAAAATAGATAATTAAAAAAGAGTAGTTATATTTTCCACCATTTATATTTATTATTTTTATTATTGGATTAATTCAAAATCAATAGTAATTAATTTTTTTCTTTTTCAAACATTGATTTTAAATTAACCAAATGATAACCAAAAGGTAATAAAAATGATAAACCTAAAATGGTAAGTATAAATCACTCCTCCCTTGAGTTCGTCACTATAAATAGTCATTTTAAAAAAGTGAACAATTAATATAATTGTAATTAATTAGACTAATTTGTAATAGATTATTCAACTTGGTAAGTATTTACTTCTTATATAAATAAGACTTGACGTCCCAAATAATAAATAAGAAAAATAAGATTCAAGTCTTATTAGGTTAAAGAACAAGGTTTTTTTTGTTATCAAAAAAAAAAAGAACAAGGTTTTTTAGATTTGACTATTTCGTTTAATTGAAAACATATTACTTATCATAAACACATATAATGAGAAAAATATTTGTCATTTGAATGAAATTATTATGCTTTGAAATATATTTAGTATTTTTTATATATATTTTCTATCCTTTACAATATTTTCACTTTATCTTTTTTTCTAATTATTTTCAAAAAGACAAAATATAAAAAATTACTATGCACCAAAACACAATAATTTTATTTAAAATGACACAAACTTATATTTTTTAAAATAACAAATATTTTTCTCTACATAAGTTAATAAATTCTTAACATTTTACACTTAAAATCCATTTTAAAACTTCAAATCCATAGATGCCTATCAACATTATACACGTACTTGTTTATTATTGTTTAAATAGAAATTGGAACTAAAACACAAATTTTAGTCCCACCTAGAACTAGGGCAAGAAAATCAAGCTCTCTAACCGTTCATTCAACACATTTTATTTACCCTTCATTCTCTCCAAGATCATTCTGAACGTGCCACCCTTTTTGAACATTTGAGTGATTCTTATTTCTTAAAGCTTGAATCACCCAACACCCCCTCAAGCAACTATGATTCGCATAGCATCAAAGTTGTCATCAAGAGCTTCTTCCACTGCTTTTGCTGCTTTCACAGCAAAATCCTCTCCCATTTCATGCACTAGGCTTTCTCCTCTTGCTGCTTCATCATTTAGGTCTTTCAACAATGGCTTAGAACTGGACAAAAACATGGCAAACCCTGATGCCATTCATATGATTAACTATGCACTGAGACAAGCAAGGACTGACATATCAGGTGACAAAAAAGATGCCATTTTTACTATTAGAAACTCTGTTTCTCAATGACCCATTTGTGTTTATTGGCCAAAGTTGACATCTTTTTGGTTTTTTGGGTGTGTTTATTTTGTTGTGAATAGTTGGGTCGTACGGTCTAGGTATGTTGGTGTTGAAGCACTGCCTTACAACTGAGTTAACTGAGGGCAAAGACCCTCTAAATGAGAATTCAAAAGGAATTGCTTTGCTTGCTTTGTCCACCTTGTTGTCTGAAAGGTTCATTCTTTGTGATCATTTAGTTCTATTGGTCTTTTAATTCCCATTTTTGAGCTCAATTTTGTGGCTGATTGTTTAAACTCATGAGTGCTATCTTTTATATTAACTTTTCTTAGAGGAGATTATGCTGATGCAATAGAGAAGCTCCTGAGTGTTCAAGAATTGACCAATTCTTACTTGGGTATTAGAGGTAAATTCCTTTTTCTTTTTTTGTAATCACCTTTTATTGATTACTGCTTTTGCTGTGGATATGTATATTATTTTTTTTCAATATGAACTTTTGTAAATGATTTTTAAGTTCTATCTTGGTTTCTTCTTGTAGTTGCTGCCTTTGAAGCTCAGGCTGGGCTTCATCTGGAATTGGGGCAGGTTGGTATCTGCAAACCCATTGTAGAATATTTGACTGCTTTTTGCCCTGCACCGTTCATGTTGATTTAGAGAAACATTTCGTATATAGGATGATATGGCTTCAGCAGTGGCTGATAAATGCGTTGAGTTCGTGGAGAAACAGGGAACAGGAGATTTTGAGGCTCTAAATATTCGTGCTAAAGCACTAAAAGGGCTTATTGAGCTTGTCAATGGCAATATTAAGTCAGGTAGTGCTGAAGGTATATTTTTCATTGCCACGATTCTCAATTAGTGCTTACTATTTGCTTGGTGCAGCTGAAGCTTTCTTTGACAAATCTCTCCGTGACAAGCTATGCGATGGTACATTTCTCTCTGTGTGGTAGTGTAGCAGCATTCTTCGACAGTCCAACACCAAATTGATGTTTGGTTATATAGGTACTGCTGCTCTATCATATGCGGAATTCCTACAAGCAAAGGGGAACTATTCAATGGCGAAAGAGATTTACCATAATGTCATACAAGGAGCTACTGAAATAAAAAATTGTGGCAATCCATACTTAGGAGCTGGTAACATGATCTTGGAGGGTTTAATGATGGGGGCCATGTGTTCTTTAGGACAGCTTGAGTCACATTTGGGGTAGGCTTAATGTTTTCTTTTGGTTTTCCTCAGCCACACCACAAGCTTCCTTTTTATGTTGCCTTAAGTGATATATCACTAATAAATGTTGTTTCAGTAACTTCCGTAATGCAGAGGACTCTTTGACAAAGGCATTAAAAAAGGCGGAGGAAACCTATGGTGACTTATTTATTCTTTTGATCTGTTACCTAAACTCAATTTACAAATTCGTATAGCACTTGTTGTTGAGCCTGATAATGGCATATTACGTTACTGATATCTTCTGGCTCTTTCTATTTGGTGAAGGAGAGAAACATCCAAAGGTGGGTGTTGTCTTAACATGCATGGCTCTTATGTATAGGCGTAAAGCAATTGAGGAGCAATCAAGTTCACTGTTGATTCAAGAGGTTAGAACTCTCCAATTGCTGAATTGTTAACTATAATTTGAAAAACTTAGCCACATCTTTTTTATCATCTCTTTTCTCCCAAAAATAGAAAAGAACAATGGTTAATAAGTAACAAGTAAGATGTATCTAGATGTCTTGAATCTGGTTTAGTTCTCCTGTAAAAGTTCTTGTGCTATGAAACTGACATCTTTTGCTCCAGCTTTATTCGATTAATTATTAACTTGCTTTTCCAGAGATGTGGACTGTGAATGACAAATTGATTGACCTGGCTTTTTCTTGTGTGACATGCAAGTAACACTGTTTTCAGCCAAAAAAATAAAATATTTTAGGAATGAGCCGAGTTTATAAATTTGTATGTAGATGTTTAATTTCGCTGACTAGTATAGTCTGCCAACTTAATAACATGTCTTCCACTTGAATTGTTTAGCATTGCTTCACTTCCTTTAGATGCCTAGTGGGTTGGCAATAGTTTTTATTATATTTCAAATAGTAATTATAATACGATAATCATTGACAGGGTCTCTACAGAAGAGTGATAGAAATTTTGAAGGTTCCACCTGTGGAAACTGAGTCTGAAGGTAACGTTGATGTATCATTCAATTACCACATGTCCATGTATTGTCTATAAGATACCTACACATAATGAATTTATATTGAAACCTAATTTTCTTTGTGTAGCAGCTGCACCATTGGTGGATCGAAGTGATATAGCAGCTCTTGCCAGAGGTATGACGGATTCTTTGATCCACTATAATCTATGATGGGGATATATATATATATATATATATATATATATATATATATATATATAACCATTAATATGGCCTTCACTTAATAGTTTAAACTTTTGGGTTGAAATGATTCTTTACATGGTATCAAAACATCCGTGACTAAGTAGTTATAGGTTCGATACTCACCAACTCTGTTTTCTAATAAAAACAAAAAGTTAAAATGAGTACAAAGTAAACCAAAAAAAAGGTCTGTGCATTATTTACGCTTCAAGCTCAAGGACTCTTGTGTGAGAGGATATGTTAGAGATATAATAAATAAAACCATTAATATGGCCTTCACTTAAGAACGTAAGTTTTTGGGTTGAATTGATGTGTGGACGATAGTCTCCCCTATTTTGGCCCGTGACGGTGTAATCAACTACCTTATCTAGGAATGACAATTTTAGGAAAAGAGAGTTACTGTGTTATTTGTAGCTTTGTTTGTTACAATGAATGTACCAATAAAGTTAAACTGATGAGTTTTTAAATCTAGTAGAAATCTCTATCATGAGTTTAGCATCCATCTACTGGGGGAATAATTACAGTCACTATAGCTTTATACATGTATGTCTTAGTATCTGTTTGGATCCTTTTTTTTTTAAGGTAGAAGCTACTTATAAGCATAAGCTAGGTCAAACAGGTTTTAGGAAAAGCTCTTATAACGAAAAGCTCTTTTTTTTATTATGAAGAAAAAAGCTGAAAACTAAAAGCTCCTAGGAGGAGTTTTTTTTTAAGCTCTTATTTGTTTTTCTTGAATTGTGTGCTTTTTTTTAAAATGAAGGGTGATAAAGAGAGAGAGAGAGAGAGATAATTTTCTTGAAATATGTGCTTTTAAGTAATTTTTAAGCTAAATTTTTTATGTAATTTCCAAATAGCTTTTAACTTCTTTTTTTAAGTTCTTTTTTTAGCTTTAGCTTATAAGTAACTTCTAGCTTAAAAATAAGAGGATCCAAACAGGCTTTTATTGTAGGGTGCATTTCCAATGGACCACCCAATTGAACATGTTTAATGTTAAATGGAGTGCTCATGGTAGACAGTGCTTACCTAGGAATTTCGTGTTATAGAATACTGCATCGGTTAAGATCTTGGTGCTGTATGATGAATTGAAAATTTAAATATTACTTTGTGATTCGTTGGTACCATGTGAGGTACATCCAGGACAATGATTATTATTATGCTGTGCTCTTCAATTTTAGGACTCATTCTGTGCATGCTGATAATTTAATCCTGGCATGTCTTGTATGTTGACAAATTGCTTGATATTTTTAGGTGCATATGCTGAAATACTTAGTGTACAAGAAAATAGAAAGGATGAGGGAAATAAGATGAAGAACTTGGCTGAGGCTATATGGAGAAACCCCAGGATTTCTCTGACTGATGCTCTAGCAAATTCAGATACAAACAAAGCTTCAATTATAGATGCTCGAATCAGCAGGCTTCTTTAAATTGATCCATCTTCTGCTTCCTTTCTTGCTGCTGCAGGTTCAGGTTGGAATATGATATATGTATGACAAGAAAATGGACTCTAATTTTGTGCAAAATTAATCCATAATGTTGCTTGTAGATAACGTGTCATGCCTGCATATACTACGATATCTTGAGCTTTCTATATAAACAACATTATCTAGACATATAATGAAAGTTAGGTAGCTTATTTGATCTTTTAAGTTCATTCTTCTTGCTTTGTATTTTGCTTTCCTTGTTATGTCTGATGTTTGATTCGTAGTCATCAAAGAAAGTTTGGCTAAGCTACTTGTCCTTAATTAAGTTAACCTGTACACCTATTAAATCAAGATGAATAAAGATTTTAAACTTTTTGTTATAAAAAAACTCATGTTCAAAATTAAAAGAAAGGATAATTGTTTGGTATGATAGGTAGCATATATGCTGCTGTCAAGTGGACCGTCCCAATCATATTACTTAGTCTATCATATAAATTATATAATCTTGACTCAAAGTGTGTGCATTCCTAATTTTATTTCTCGGTTGAAGCATGTGTGGCACCAAAGAATTGTCATCAAACACATACGTACCAATGAATGAAATGTGCCACTAATATTTTCTTAGAATGAGTGGAAGATAAAGATCACAACAATTGTCTAACTTTTATATTCACGTAATTTCAAGCTTTTAATGTATCTTTAGGTGAAAATGTAAGGCAAAGCTTTTGTTTTTGAATTTAAAAGTTATGTTTATAAAAATGATTATGAAATGATTAGAAGGTTTAATGATAATCTATCATTCTATTTCTTATATTCTAAAAAAAAAATTAAATTAAATTAAAAATTATTTACTTGATGTAAATTTTTACCCTTTCTTGTTTGCTTCTGATGACTCTGTTTTGAAAATAACATTTTGTCTCTATTATAGACTTTGCACATGCGTTACATTTAACGCATTTATGGCACCACTGTCCTGCCCTAAGCCTACCAACAACAACTATCTACCGATCAACGAAATAAAATAAAAAGGTTAATCACTAAGTTACACTTAAATTTTATTTTATAACACAATTATTTTAAATTATTGTAAAAATTATAATTTCATAATTTTTTTTATTAAATTTAATAGTAACAGTTTACATGTTAGAAGCAAGTAAGAAATCTTAATACATGATTTTGACATATTTCTCATAAAATTAATAATATTCCGCTTTTTATATGTAGATTGTCCCTGTTAATTTTTTAACCAGTTATTTGTTATCTTTATAGCCAACCGCATCCTTAAATTAAAGTTCTTAATGAGGTAGATCTTGGTAAAATAGACCCCACTCATAAACCATACGTTGATACGAAAAGTTTATTTCCGAAACAATTATGATATTTCTTTATGCGCTTTAAATGTCTATGATCATTGCATTCCTACAAGTATGACCAGGGTGTACATTCGTCAATTTTTTTTTTTTGTATAATGTACATTCGTCATTTTCGTACCCGATCTTCTCATACTAAATAGTGGCACTCTTTTAATTTAGTTCATTGCATCTATAATGAGAAATGGCAGTATAGTATAGATTTGTGAAAGAAAAATGGTATTGTTGAAACTATAGGATTGGTACTATAATATAGTTGAATTAGTAATGCACAAATTCTTTCTTTCTTATACATATTTTCCAATTTATTTCAAATGCAATAAATAAAAAGCCTAATAACTTTGTTTTATTAACAATACTTACCTTTTGTTGTTAAACATTGACAACATATTTAAAACTTTTAAATCTAAATTATTTTACCCATGCACTGAACGGGTTTTCTGACTAATATAGAATACAAAATCAAAATACACCAATTAAGCATAAGATATAGACCATGACCATTTCATGTGGCTTTTGAAATCAACGACCACTAGATAGAAATGATTCAGCAATTGAAGTAGTAGTAGTAGTACTAGTATTGGTAATATGGGTGAAGGGCTTATCCATAGAAGATGGATAGGACAGTGCAAAGCCCTCAGAATCTTCATGGTATCCAAAAGTTAAGCCAGTGGAAGATAAGCTAAGCAAAGATAAATCTGGCAAAGGTTCATCCATCTCCAAGTGCTGTACAACTTGGCGCATGCTAGGCCTAGCTAAAGGCTCTGAATGTGAACACAACAAACCAAGTTTCAACACCAACTCCACCTCATCAGACCTATAATCTATGCCCAAATTTACATCCTTTGCCTCAAGTATCTCACCTCTTTTCCCACAAGCATACACCCAATCAACCAGAATTCTAGTCTCATGTTCCCCTATGTGCTCTATTGGCCTCTTTCCACAGACAACCTCTAGTAGAAATGCACCAAATGCAAACACATCAGAGCTTGTAGTGGCCTTGCCAGTTCTAGTATGCTCTGGAGCTAGATACCCAAGAGTTCCAACAACATGGGTGGTTTGAGGATCAGTTCCATGGTCATATAACCTTGCAAGACCAAAGTCCCCCAATCTACCATTCAATTCTGCATCTAGTAGTACATTGCTTGCCTTTATGTCTCTGTGTACCACAACTTGCTCCCATTCTTCATGTAGATAAAACAGACCTGAAGCAACCCCTTTGATGATTCTAAATCTTTGGCTCCAAGTTAAGGTCACTGTTGGTTGGTTATAGAGATACTTGTCTAGGCTTCCATTTGGCATGTATTCATAGACCAAAAGCAACTCTCCTTTGCGCCTGCAATATCCCAGAAGTGAAACCAGATTCCTATGGCGAAGACGACCAATGCTAACAATTTCTGACACAAATTCCCTCATCCCTTGTCTGGATTCATGGGACACCTTCTTCACTGCAACTTCAATTTTGGAAATTGGCATGACCCCTTTGTAGACTCTACCAAATCCACCAGTTCCCAATAGCTCCTTCTCCTTAAACCCCTTTGTGGCAAAGTAAAGATCTTTGAACTTGAATCTATGAGGACCATATTCCTGTTCCCAATCCTCAAGCACCTCAGCAAACTTCTTCTTCCTTTTGATGACAAAAACCACTGCTAGAGTTATCATGAGAACCAAAACAACTGATATCAAAGGCAATCCAGCAGTTAAAAACTTAAACTCTTTTTTATCACCAAGTCTAGGTAACTTGGGGAGTTCAGAGATTGCAAGTTGTTGAGCCTGGCCATTGACCTTAAAGCTCCAACCCAGAACATAATGGGAAGTTAGGACTGACCCAGTAGAGGATGAAAATCCAACATACATGATATTGTTCAGAATTGGAGAAAGATCTTTTGTCAATGATAACAAAGGGCGTTCTGGTTTACCAATGTTGATTGGAGCTAAAGTAACATCAATCTGCTTCTTTACCCCATCATATTCCACCCATACTTGCATCGGGTAGCCACTGAAAAGGCTCAAATTCTTAAGCTCACGACCGCTGTAATATCCTGCAGGAGCTGATGTAGCTGACTTCAAATCATTGATATCAATTCCAACATGGTTGTCGTTGATATCAGCAAACTCACTGTTCAGAATGGTATCAAGTTCCACCCCAAAAACATGGTTGCTGTCGTTGCCATTGTTAGACTTGTCAAAGAGGCCAAGGTACGCGCTTGGAAGAGAATTTGGAAGCCCTTTTGTTGGAGAAACCACAAAAACAATGCCATGACCACTCAGAGTGGGATACTCAGTTCTTATTGCAAACACAAAAGTAGTGGAGAAAGAAGACACACTTCCATTGAAGGTGTTCTTGAAAACTATAGGACTTGGATAAAAGGCATGACCCTTTTGTTGCTTGGTGTCATTGGTAAGTCTGAGTAAGCCGTTGGAGGTTAACTCAGCAATACCATCAACATACAAATGAGATGATTGGAACCCGTTATAGATGAAACTGGTGTCTTCACTGGCTACCTGTGTCACCAGCAAAATCACCAGTAACACAAGCTTGAGGGACATGGCTATGCTAAGCAATATGCTTCTGGTCCAAAGCTTAAAGACGTGAATCACAAATTCTAGAACCAGCAAATTTATTTATGCAAAAAGAAAAAAAAAGAATCAGACAAGTCAGTGTCATTTGGACTTTACATTAACATTTTTTTATTATGTTTTTTTATGGGGGCGTTTGGCTCGGGTTTTTCTGGAAGTTAGCCATGTATCCGAGTGTGTCTTTTTTGGACTTCCTTGTTCAGTTGAAGTTTTTGAAAAATTCAGCCATGCATCCGTTTTACCCGGCCATTTACATTTGTGTGGAAAATTGGAAAAAAAACACTATTGAAAAATACCTCTTGTAAGGTGGTATTTCAAGTTGCCTAGGCTAATGGGAGAAAGAGAACCATTTTGCTGCCAAAAACACCCTATGCTATTAGGCTACATTGTTTGCTACAAGGGTTGTTTCATACTTTGAAGTTATTTTCTCATCAATTTTTTACTTCCAACCAAACATAGACTCAGTAAATTTAACCCAATTTTTCTGGTAAAATTTAGGCCAACGAAACAATTTTTTTTCAACTTCCCTATCAAACTCATTTCCTACCAAATTTTTAGTAATTGTATTTCTCTGATAAAAAAAATTATCCTTTACAAAACGCCTCGTAAGGTTATTGGCTTTTGACCCCTCCACCGATTCACCGGTTTAATTTTTTTCAAATTATTTATTAATTTAATAAGAGTGAAATACGAATGGAATGTTTAAGTCGCACATTATTTTTATTGTGTAAAAATTCGCACAATGCAAGATGCATGTCTTGGTAGTGTTCATTCAAGTACCACTTGCATCTCATGTAGGGGTGGCAAAACGGGTTGGCCCGCCCCGACCCGCTGACAACCCGTCAAAAGTGGATTGGCCCGTCCCGCCCCGCCTGTTGAATTTGGGTTGAAAACTCCAACCCGCCCCGTTTTATGTGGGTTGACGGGTTGACAGGTCAACCCGCTTAAAAAAAAATATATATTATATTTTATTAATATTATAAAATTACTTATATTTATATCACATTTCTCTTAGTTTTTTTTCAATCTTAAGTCTAAATGTATGTTAATATTTAGTCAGATATTCTTTACAAACTTGTTTTTATCTCCATACATAAATTATCTTTGTCATAAATAAAGTTTTTCTTCTATATTTTTTCTGGAGAGTACTAAGATAACAAAGAATTAGATATCACAAAAGCTTAAAAACAAATAAAACACTACCCAATAGTAAAAAAAAATAAAAAAAATAAAATTGACCTGACAGGCCAACCCGCCTCGACCCGCCGCCAATTCATTTTGACCCACAACCCAACGGAGCGGGTTGAGACGGGTTGGTAGGTTGAAATATGTAACCAAACACATTCCGTTTAGGCGGGTTGACCCGTCGTTTAACCCATATTATCAACTCTAATCTCATGTGCATCTTTCAAAGTGAAACACGTGAGAGACGTATTTTGACTTTTACATAAGTCGGTTATGGTGCGATGTATATTTAAATGCACATATTTTTTATGCATATTTTACTCGCATGAAATTAATAAATAATTTATAAAAAAATTAAACGGATAATATCTCTTAATTTCTGCATCACAAGGGTGAAAATACACCAAAGTTATTAGAGATGTGTCATCCCTTTCTGCGGCACACTTTGTTCACTTCCCACGACAAGCAGGTCAAAGTCTTTCCTGGGGACCTAGGATGCCGTGCCGCCCAGTACCACCCAATTCCGGTCTTTGCAAGTACCTGGTATACTGTTCTTATAATTTGATACCTTTTTTTTTTTTTTATAAAAATAAAATAAAATAGTTATACATATTTTTTTGGTTTTATACATTAATTTACATAAAGGGAATAAATACACTTGCCACCAAAAATATTTATCACTCTCACAATCAATTTAATCATCGTCGGATGAAATCAAATTAAGGATTGTCATTTGATATAAATTATTTTTTGTTTCCATGATTTCCGCCACTCTCTCTTCATTTTCTCTTTCCATCATGTTTTAGTCGCTCTTGATTTAATTTTATCTAACGATGATTAAATTGGTTGTAAGGATGATAACCTTTTTTAGTGGTAAGAACAACTGTCCCCTAAATAGGAAAAGTTATACTTACCACCATTTTAGATTTACTACCCTACAACTTGTTTGGTTATTATCGCATCAATTTGAAATTAATGACAGTTATTTATTTTTTCCTTTTCCAATAGTTGGTTTTTTTTTATACAAGTGAGAATTAAACACATGACATAATATACCCTACCAAAACCCCTCATCACTAAACCAATCATAGTGACTTTTCAATCGTTGATTTTAAATTGATCAAATGACAACCAAACAAGTTGTAAGAGTGGTAAGCCTAAAATAGTGGTAACTATAACCATTCCCTAAATAAAACTAACGTCACTTCTCATTTATTTTGATCTTTCACAATTTTTTTTTCAAAATTATATATAAATATTTGTGCGTATGATTATACTTACCACCAATAAGTTTATCACCTCTATTAATTTGATTTTATTTGACGATTTTAAGAGAAATTATGATGATAAACTTTGCTGGTATAACTATAATCTCTCCCATAATTTATAAATCATGTTATCTAGAAGACAGTGAGTGATATTAAATCACTAAGAGGTTTGAATCCATGTATAAAACAAAAGAGATAATGTTCAGAATTATCAAATAAAGGAAATTAAAACAGACTTACAGTATGTCGGATAATGGAACAGAATGATGAATGTATACAGAATAATGAAAAATCCGAGCCCACAGAATGTGTCTCCTTAAGACAATTTGCCCCCTCACTGATGACACTAATTTTTTTTTACATATTTTTATAACTTTTAACAGAACTTTTATTGTTTTTTGTATGTCAATATATTTTGAATTGAAAATAAAAAGGTTAAAAATAAAAAAGAGAATGACGTTAAAATATAAAGTAACAAAAAGAGAAAAGAAAAACAATGAAAAAAGAGGGGGAAAAATGGCAGAAAAATATAAAGTGAAAATTATAAACTCACAAAGAAAAATTGCAAAGCATATATTAAAAATTAAATACTTATATTTAGTTATTACAAAGTTAGTTAAAAAAATTATGAATTTATCAAAATAGTTATAATACTAACTCAATTTTTGTTACTAAAAATGTAACTTAAAAATAAATCTTATAAAATTATAAATAAGTAACACCATATTCCCTTTCCCTTTTCTTTAAGGGAGTAGTAAAACTAAATTATGAAACCGTTATTCTAATTGCACTGGTAGGTCCAGAATGAAATTGATCCCATAGAAATGTGAACTTATTGTCTCAGTAGATTTAATTTAATTTTATAAACTTGTTTAGTGCCAGAAATTATATTTAAAAAAATAAGCTTATCTTCTAAGACTAATTATTTTAAGGAAAAAACAACAAAAATCTACACAGTATTAGATGACAAAATGTGTCAGGATAAAATGGGTAATGTACAAGTTTAGATAATGACACGAATTAGTATCATGTGATGGGTTGACTCATGTGATCCGCATGTCAACCCATAAAAATTTTTTATTAGAAAAAATAAAAATAGAAATTTTGGTATTTTTACATATCTCATTGTAATCAAATGGTGGTAGCTCAGTTGACGCATAGGAGCTAAGCAGGTTGGGGTGAGAGCATGTGTTCGAATCTCTCCAGTACCACATTTGGGGGGGGGGGGGGGGGGAGGTTTAAAGTCTTAATCCTGGACCCACCCCGAATCGAATTAGTTGCGAAGCAATTAGGGGTGCTAAACGAACCAGGAGCCTTTCAAGGGTCTTTAGTTCGGATCGTGAAGGTCTGAGCTTACATGTCTAAAATTGGTTGTTGGCACCAGGCTTGAACTTGTATAAAAGTTCGTTTAATAAAAAAACTTCAGGCTCCAATGCAAAAGCTCGGCCTTAGAGCCTCTCAGGCTGACCTAATATATTATTATTTTTTATATATTTTTTATACTACTTGTAATAGCTCTCTGTTTCTCCTCGATCCATTTCATCCCATTTTATTAGTTAAACGAAGTTTTTGAATAATTTTGTTCTATATTATGCTGTTTGGATATACATTGAATTTATGAATATTTATAGAATTACTACTGTTGTTGATTGTATATTCTGTTTAGATAAATTTTTGTTATCTTAATTTTTTTTAAATAGGCTGAACTAGTCTTTTATTTTTTATAAATAAGTCAGACCACAGGTCAATAATTACATTTATAACAGGAAACAAACTTGGTCAGACTGACATATTTAAACACAGACTTAGACTTTTAAGACCAAAGCTCGACTCGAACCGTTAACATCTCTATAAGCAATGAACCGATTAAAATATTTTCAAAAAATATCTCATCGCTGGTCACGGGTCAACACATATACTTTATTCATTTTTTTCTTTTATTTTTAATTTAAAAAAAAAATTAAATTATCAATTTTTGCAAATAAACCCTTATGACCCCTTACCTGCGGCGGATCCTGTTCGAGTTTTAATTTTTGAACCGCAAATAAAAACCGGTCATTTACGCGTTAGACAATTTAATCTGCAGGTCAAACTTGATATTACATGTACTCAACCCACTGACATGTTTTATCACCCCTAATTACAGCTAATATGTCATTTTTCATTGTTTATTTAAGCGACATGAATGATTTGAACTTACTATTGAAATAATGAAGAAATATGTTATTAATCTTTCGAAATATAACTAAAAACAAAACTTTTGAAACTGTAGTTTTATTTTACAAAATTTAATTTATTTTTTGTACTTTCAGAATTAGTAGATCTAAATATTAAAATAAGTTCAAATATTATTGTAAGTAAGTATAGTGTCAGTTAGTATTTCTTTTCTATATAGATTAAAGATTAATACTCACACGATGAAAAATTAAGAGACAAACGGAAAGTAATAAAAATATGTGAACCTTTCTCAGAAAAATAAAGAAATGAAATATTATGCCTATATTTTTTTAT